ACTAAATCATCATATGCAGCCATTACTCCCTCTCTCTCACGCTCACCATTATGATAAACCCCTAGCAGAGGAGATTCAAATGGATCTTTGTTCCTTACCTACCCCTTTCTACAGTACCTTCCCAACGTGCAGTTCAAGCACGTGTTGACTAATAACTAGCCCCTCCTGCCTTAAGGGTGTGGCTCATGCAAGAAAAGGAGGGGCTATGTTCTGATTTTTTTGCTGACTGACCTGACTCATGCTGACAAGAAAAAGCGAGTCATGAGCCTACAAGAACACGATACTCCTGAAGAAGTAAGTTTCTATTTCATTTACAGACTCTATATTGATCCTGCTAATATTTTAGGAGGCTTTGGATAAGATTATTCACAACGAACTCTTACTTGAATCCATCGCTCACAATGTCGACCCTCTTGTTTTATGTCACCTACTCATAACTCGCTCTTCTGGCGAGCTGTTCAACAAATATGATAAGGAAACAGTTGAAACTAAAGAAGACAGTTCACAAAAAGTAGACCAAATCTTAGATTTCTTAAAAGATAGACTGCATCTAAAGCCGGCCTTCTACCTTCTCGACTGCTTAAGATGTACCTCTCTCTCTTCCTCTCTTCCTTTACCAGTCAAGAGGACGTTCCTGTGGTTCACGCCTTCACCAGAATACGCAGCAATGGCCGTCCACACTGTAGAGACATCCAATCACAAGTCGGCCGCCCTCCAGCCATTTTTCTGGCCTCTCCGTCACTCCCCCAGCCCCCCTAAAGGTGGCTACCTCTATCATGTCTGTAACATATTCATCTCCATGGATACCCAGCTTGTCTTGGTTTTTCCAGAAAGTAAGACGACCGACGAAGAGATTTGGGGCAATATAGTGACCAGCTGTACAGAACAATGGAGGAACACTGATATAGTAATCCTTTATAGTGGACTCTGTGTAACTGATAACATTAACACACCTCAATCTTCTACTCAACCTCCTCCTCTCTCTTCGACAGCCTCAGCCAATCTTCCTCCAAGTCCACCTGTTCCCACTCCATTATCTGTTTTATCTGGTCCTCTTATCTTTAAGACATCTTTTTGTACTGAAGGACTGATAAGAGATCTCAAGTTGAAGGAGTCGAGAAGAGAAGACAGCTGGAGCAGGGATAGCTTTGATGAAATATCTGATGAAATTCATCACCATCGACAAAGCCTTTGGTTAAGACGTCTCCTGCTTGAAATTGATAGAGTCAGAAATGGTGACAGGTCACAATGGCTACAAGACCTAGAGTGGGGAGAAGTGAAACCTTCTCTCACTGAATACCAGAAAAAACTACTAGCCGACAACCTTAGTCTTTGGAAGAGCGGGGAGCTTAAAGAATACCTAGTCACTACGAGAGAATGGATGAAAAAAGATGACAGCTTGCTAGGTGTTGTTCCTTCAGCGATTGAGAATAGTTCGAATATTTTACAAAGTATAGAACCAGCTGTTTGCCACCCATTGCCAATACCAAACCAGCTGACATTTAGTGTTAAAGACGAACTACCTGCTAATGTGCCTGTTCTATTTAAAGGATTACGTCCGACGTTAGTTACTTCTGCGGTACTTCCCGCCCATCTTGCCACACTCAAAATGCGTTGCCTAGCAACTCGTTCATGTTGCAAGTTGACTCTCGAGTGTTTATTAATACATATTGATACTTGTAATCAACTCTGATTCTTACTATTTATACTTATTATTGTGTTGATTATTATATTGATTATTAATAAAATTAATTTTAATAACTACTAACTAATTTATTGGTCTAGGCGTGGTTAGACACGCCCAAATCAAAATGGCTGCCAACGGTGTGGTAGAAGAAGACTCAAAAACTAAAGAAATTGAAGAGAAGGCTGAGACTGAAGAGCAATTCTGTCAAACTGAAGGATGTGATAAACCAGCTGCACTACAGTGCCCCACTTGTATTAAACTAAGTATTGCTGGAAGCTTCTTCTGCTCGCAAGTAATTGAAAAATGCTGAGTGTAATTTGTGTTATGTCGCTACATTCTACTTTATAAATCATTAGGATTGTTTCAAAGGTTTCTGGGGGACACATAAGCTCGTACACAAGAAGACGAGCTCTTATAATCCCTGGCCGTCGTTTAAATTCACGGGACCACTCAGACCCGCACCTGTTGTAAGTCATGTGACTACACATCGACCAATCAAATTAATCCTTTACTGCCCCGCCCATTTAGACCCCGACCAGGAGTGTTCCTAGTCATATATCACGTCCGGATTATTCTGAGGACGGGGTACCTCGGTCGGAGAGACTGGCAAAGAGCAGTGGACAGATAAAGCAGCTGTCGCCTCGTGAAATAAAAGCAATGAGGAAAACTGGACGAGTAAGTGTGGAATACTGTTGTGTTTGTAGTTTTTTAAAATGGCTGTAACTCGAAAAGTTGAAGTCAGAATCAACTCAAACTTTCTACGTAGCATAAGTACATCGATATGTATTAGAAAATGTAATAAAAATGAGGGGTGATTTTGGAGCCATTTTTTTGAAAAAACCATGGGCTATAGCCTTGGGTATTTTTCAGATTTTGACTCATTTTTTTAAAATGGTCGTAACTCGAAAAATTGAAGTTGGAATCACTTCAAACTTTCTACGTAGCATAAATACATCAATATGTATCAGAAAATGTAATAAAAATTGGGGGGTGATTTCGGAGCCATTTTTTGAAAAAAACCATGGACTATAGCCTTGGGTATTTTTCAGATTTTGGCTCATTTTTTTAAATGGCCGTAACTCGAAAAGTTGATCAGAATCAGCTTAAACTTTCTACGTAGCATAAGTACATCAATATGTATCAGAAAATGTAATAAAAATTGGGGGTGATTTCGGAGCCATTTTTTGGAAAAAACCATGGACTATAGCCTTGGGTATTTTTTACAAATTGACTTGTTTTAAAAATGGCCATAACTTAGAGAATGTAGTCAGAATCAACTGCAAATCAATATTTAATTATAATAAGGAAGAGGGTTTTTTAAACCCATCCAAAAATTGTTTTCCCAAATGTCTTAAAGAAGTCATGTCTTGATCTCTTCCTCCACTACACTTTTATATACAGTTTTTTGTAAAAGGTCTAGTGGGTTCACCAACTATCATTCATGTCCTTATGTAAACTGTTTATTATAGCCCATACAAGGACATCAATATATGCATCAGATAAATAAAGGCTGATTTTAAATTCTTCTTTCTTAAAGACATTAATTTATATGGATCTATCTATCCCTCATTAGCTTGGTAGAGAAGTCTTAGATATAGCAGCAAAAGCCATCAGACCAGGAGTAACGACTGATGAAATTGATAGGATTGTCCATGAAGTAAGTATATACTTGTACATGTACTTTTATGTGTACATAAATGTACATAAATATCTCTGTCTTATTGTAGGCTTGTATTGAAAGAAATTGCTATCCTTCTCCATTGAATTATTGCAACTTCCCTAAATCATGTTGCACGTACGTTTATCATGTACAATATTATCAAGTATTTTATTTTATTTTATTTTTATAATAATTAGTTCAGTGAACGAGGTCATTTGTCACGGTATTCCGGACAAACGAGAACTCGAGAACGGTGACATATGCAATGGTAAGCCTTTAACATGCTCTTTAATTAGAATAACTCTTTGTTCCCTAGTTGACATTACTGTGTATTACGGCGGGTTTCATGGAGACCTCAACGAGACCATGTTTGTTGGAAAACCGAGTGAGAGAGCCCAAAAGATTGTTACAGCTGCATACGAGTGTATGATGAAGGGAATCGGCATTGGTAGGAGAACCTCCCTTCCTCTCTATCTTTTCTAGAGCTACCGTATAGCAGGAAATTTTGAAGGGAATTAAATTTGGCGAATTTGGCGTTTTGATAGCCATTTGCTAAAATAAAATCTGCCATTTTGAGCCATTATACACATGCTCAATGGCACGTGGCCACTAATTCACCAATCACCAAAATTTAGCAATTTGCCAAATTTAACTCCCTCCAAAATTTCCCTTTATATGGTATATACATGTATATTTATGTACATGTACAGTACATGTCTTCATTTTTCTTTTTCTCTTTTAGTTCGTCCTGGTACTAAGTATCGTGATGTTGGTGCCGAGATTCAGAGCCACGCCCATTCTAAAGGTTTCAGTGTCGTACGGAGCTACTGTGGCCATGGGATTAATCAGTGAGTGATTGGGTGGGCGGGGCTTGATAATTATTAATTGATTTTTAGACTGTTTCATACTGTTCCGAATGTACCACATTATGCAAGTTAGTTAATTAATTATTAATAATAGTTAATTAATTGTTGATTTAATATTATTAGAAAATAAGGCGGTAGGTGTAATGAAAGCTGGTCATACTTTCACAATTGAACCAATGATATCTGAAGGTATGAGTACATGTACAATCAAGAGCACAATCACTACAATAATTATTAATAATAATTATATATCTTTCTTTTATTTCTCCTTTATTTCTTCTACTCTTCCCTTTCATGCATTTCATACATTGTATATGTACATGTACATATACATGCATTATGATCTTTCTTTTAATCTCTTCTCTGTTCTCTCTCCCTCCCCATAATCTTTGCATTTATTTTTTACCTGCATAATCTTTCTTTTACAAATATTTAACCTCTTCTTTCTCTTTCATTAATTTTTCCTTCTCTTTCCTATTTCTTTTCTCTATTCTTTTTCCTCTCATCTTTTCACTGATCCACCTTTCTCCCTTCTTCTCTCTCCCCAGGAGTGTGGCATGACGTCACTTGGCCTGATAATTGGACTGCCGTCACATCAGTAAGTTCAATACACTAGCAGTGACATTATGTTAATCTTATGGTAATGATAGGACGGGAAACTCTCTGCCCAGTTTGAGCACACCCTCCTAGTAACTGAGAGTGGGTTTGAGATACTGACACTGAGGGAGGAAGGAGGAGGGAGACCTCATTACATGGACCAACTGAGGGCATTGGTTTAAGGAGAGGGAGAGGGGAGTCAATTTAATGTCCAATATTTTATAAAGTCTTAATTATTTCAAATATAAAATAATAAAAGTAACATTTTCAAAGAAGCAAAGTACCATATACTACACAAAAGTAAGTAAAATAGAAAAATCCAAATTATCCAATCTCAAAAATTAAATACTGACTGTAAGTTATAGAAGAAAAAACTAATTATAAAAATAAAGTCACACAATTTAAAAAGTGCCAATTGGAATAACAAACAACAACAATAATCAGATCTTCATCCTTTTCAATGCCTCTATTACTTGAGCCATAGTAGGACGAGCTCTAGGATCAGCTTTAAGTCCTCTTTGTATGAGAGACTTCATATCAGACCAGGAGACACTATCAGATTGTACTTCTCTCTTTGCTGTCGTCATTTCTGGGAGAGAACACAAATTCATTTCCATAAGGAGAACAGAGTAACTGTAGACATCCATTGCTGGACTGTGTTGATTAGGATCACGAGCTTCTGGTGCAGCATATGCAACATCGCCTGGCATAACAGTATCATCTTGATGAATTGTTGTAGCTGTACCATAATCTG